GAGAGTCGGAGGCTGGGAGGGAGGCACAGCAGGCTCCAGGGTCACCCTGGCTGCCGCCGCCCGTGTGGGGAGTGCTGGGGGTTGACCCCTGCTGCCGCCCCACACCAGGCCCCCATAGTACCCAACTCCCTCCTGTCCATAGGACGGTTGGGTGGCCACCGTGGTGCGGGGCCTGAGGCTGCTTCCTCGATTCGTCCCATGGACGGGCTGGCGCTGGTATTACCCCAGTGGGAACATGGCCGGGACACCGGGGTGAACACAACTTGCCTCACACAGAGTGGCCAGGACTGGATTCTTCTAAGAGTTAAGCATCACGTGCAAAGCTCACATTTTCCAGCTGCAGCTCAGCCTCTGGGCAGCAGCGGGGGTGGTACTGCAGCTGGCTTATGCTGATTTTAGGAGGAGAGCAGATGCTAATTGCTACTTGCAGTCTCTGCCCATGAGATCCAGGGCAGAGAAAGGAAACAGCCTGAGAAACACCTTGCCAGGTGTGGACAGGGGAGATAAGATCGGTTAAGGGACAGCCCAAGCAGAGGGGGATAGAAAGAGAGAACAAGTCAATGAATCACTTGAAGAACACAGTCCCAGGCAATGTTCCTTCTAATCTTTTCCACCCACACAAGGATGTTTTCCACCCATGTGCGGAATAATGTTATGCGCACCAAGTCAGGTGTGAATGTGCACCACCAGGAGAAACAAAACACCTTGCTGGGCACTCTGCTACTCACCTGGGTGGCTTCTGAATCGCTCCAGAGCGGCCTCGTAAGTGCCCAGCTTACAGGGTACACAGGTCTCGGGTACCGAAAAGGTGAAGACACATTGCTCTAGAGCAGCGGTTCTGAACCGTGGGCCATATGGCTCCCTAGGGGCCACGCCCTACCTCTAGGGGGCCACATGGAAAAACCAGAACATTAGGTAAATGATGTACCTTTTTTTCCAACGAACAGCGGCTATGAGGGGGGCCAGAGAGGTAAACGAGGCTCAGAAGGGGGCCATGAGGAAAAAAAGTTTGAGAAACACTGCTCTAGAGTACCCCCCACTTTAGCTGTGGCTGGGAGCAGCATGGATTAAAAGTCAGACACAGGCTGAATAAATACGCATAGACGTGAACAAGCTAGTTAAATAAACCATCCCAGAGTCAGGCTGACAGGAGAGCAACCTCTCTCCACCTCCCACTGTGCCAAAGCGAAGCACAGGTCTCTCCTACCCCAGTGACATTATCAGTCGGACTCACCACCTGCTAGGCCTGAACTTACAGCTGGGGCCTTGCTGTCTGTTTGGAATGGCCTGACTCAGCGGGTGGGAGGACACCTCCCTGTAATACACAAGGGTCTGAGGCAAAGCCCAGTGAAATTAAGTGGCAGACGTCAGGGGGTCTGAATCAGCCATGGCACTTGGTGTGAACTTCACATACTCAGGGCTGGCTTATGTAGTGATGTAATGCAACGATCTAGTGCAGGGGTGAGCAATAAAATGGCTGTGGTGCACCAGGATTAGCCCCCGGTGCCCTGCCGCCGCTGTATTTCCCTGCACCTCCGCAGGTACGGGCCATCGCCTCTCCCCTTGGCCGGGAACGGGGATCCGCGGTGACGCCCCTACCCGCGGAGGCCTACCTTGGCAGGCCAGATCGGGCCCTCAGGCCGGTATGTGCCCACCCCGGTCTGGCAGAAGTGATTTTATTCCCTGCAAACGGGGGGCTGAAAGCCCGTCCGTTCCTCCCCTGTGCAAAACCGCGGGGTCTACCTGTGGAAACGCCGATTTGCTGCAGTGCTGTAATGTGCCACATGAGGGTGGCCAAGGGGGTAGTCGGAGAGGAAGAGGCGTCACTGGCAGCCTGAGGACTGATGGCCTGGGATGAAGTGGGACAGAAAGAAGCCAGTGGGATCGGTACTCTGAGCTGCCACAGCACTTCAGGAAATTTCCCCTGGAATTTGCAATTCCTCGGGAACCTCTGGGTGCTTTACCCAGACGATCCCCGCTCTGTGCACTGAGCTCTGACAGCCAGTGGAAGATGCCGTTGGAAAGTATTCATCACCTGATCATGCCCGTTAGACAAACTCCCCATCGCTTCCCAAAGGAGACTTGCCTCAAGAAAGACCACAGCATCAGGGCCGCTAGCTTTATTTCTATTCCTTGGGTGTTGGCCTGTCTGCCAACTGTTCGCATTGGCACATCGTGCGTCACTGAGGCTACGTCTAGACTGAAGGCTTCTTTCAGAAGAAGCTTTTCCAGAAGAGATCTTCCAGAAAAACTTCTCCCGAAAGAGAGGATCGACGCTGCCAAAGTGCATCGAAAAAGCAACGTGCTTTTTCGAAAGACAGCATCCACATTGATTGGACGCTCTCTCGCATTTACGTTCTGATTGCTGTGGACGGAGTAGTCACCAGGGCACCTGTGCTTTTTCCTGGAGGCTTCTTCTTTCGAAAACCTTCCCACTTCCCCGTCCACACACGCCTTTTTGCAAAAGAGCTCTTTCGGAAAAGGCCTTCTTCCTCGTAGAAAGAGGTTTCAGAAAAACCCCTCTGTTCTTTCGATGTTTTTCCGAAGGAATGCAATTGCAGTGTGGACGTAACTGAAGTTTTTGGGGGGTTTGCCGAAAAACTCTGCCGTGTAGATGCACCCACAGCTTCCTATCTCTTTCGCACAGCTGCTTTTTGTCTTGCATGAATCAAGCGACAGAGGGAGCTAGCACTTCACATCTGGGCTGGGAGCAGAGAACAAAACTCATCAGCAAAAGTCTCTTTGCACAGAGAGAGAGAGAGACGCCTTCCAAACCGCACAGCGCCACGGAGAGAGGACAGCAAATCTCTGCTGCTCTTGAATCCCTCTGTGCTACTGCGGCACAGATACCGAGTACGAGCAGCGAACTACTCAATCAGCGTGGATGCGACCGGGTGAGCATTTTCTGAATGTGTGTGTTTCAGCTTTGCAGGAGGTGAGACTGGACAACATCGCTGGTCCCTGCTGACCTTAGAACCGGGGGGAGGCTGTTAGTTTGTGTTGGAATCATGATTCTGCGTCTTGCTCTGATCTTCTTTTTGGTGCCAGGTATTTCTGATCCGAAAACAAATCCCCCAGAGATCCGAACTCACATCCTTGGGCGAGGGGTGTTGTGCACCAGCATCATGAAAAAAAGTTTAAAGCGGGAGACACTCAAGGAGGGAAAACGGGAGCATCTAGACGGCTTTGCAATACGGTGGCCAGCGAGTGGGGGGTTAGCTCTCTGTGCCCATTTGCTCTAGGCATCTAAGTGAAGTCGTGGTTCAGTTAGAAACAGAGCGACGTTAGCTGGCGGGGGTGTGCAGTGTGAAATCCAGAGACCCCCGGGAATGCAGCTTCCCAGAAACATAGGCTAGCTTCCCAGAAACAAAGGACTCCCGTACCTCCCTCCAGTCCCTTGTGGGCTCTTTTTTTAGGATTCAACTCCATTCCAGAGGCAAAACACTGCTAGAGCCAGATCTGAAGTCTGATCCTCTGCAGTCAGCGAGCTGTGAATCGGGTCCCAAGAGGGTGACATGAATGGCAAAATGACAATAGATCTTGTTCTACGTTACAGCCCTTTCCTCCAGCCTTTGCCTGTCCTGCTAGCTAGACCTGGCAAGTAGGGACCGTCTGCCATGCTCTATTCGAGCAATCCTTGAGCAGTGCGGATCTGTGCTTGGGTGATCCCTACACACTACAGGTGAATCTCTCTAGTCCGGCACCCTCAGGACCTGACCGGTGCTGAATCGGAGAATTTGCCAGACCAATATTGTCTAGCAGCATCACCAACACTTCCACTGCTCACTGGGCTCTGAGAAGACATGGAGGGGTAAATTAGAGCTACAGAACAGGACTGGTGGCTGCAAACAAACTTTATGGGACTGCGGGAAATTTGGCCACCCCTATGCTAAGTGGACATCCGGCTAACTAACATCATGCCGGACTATGGAGTTTGCTGGACTAGAATGTGCCGGATTAGAGAGGTTCAACCTGCACTATATTAAAATGAGTATTAACAATAATAAATAAGGGTCCAGGCAGGCTCAAGATAGTAAGGAAGCACTTAGTTACAATTCCACATGTGATTCATGAAGCGATGCTAGTGAATAGGTGACAGAGCCTGGAGATTATTCAGGGGAGAAGGCAGGACTGCCTCTTGTCCCTTATTTTCCTAGAACTACTTGTCCCATTATGATCGCTGGTGGAAGAGATGCACAGAAGGGTGAACCCCAGAGCTATGGGTTTTATTCTGGCCTCTGTCACACATGCCAGGCTGATGGGCATGCAAACCTGGACAGAATGAAACGGATGTCCTCTGGATATTAGACAAATAATTTCTCATTCCCCCTGCCAGTGAGTTCCTGCCTCTGTGGACTGAGGGTAACAAGTCCTCTTACCGCAAAGGAGTGTCATGCAAGTAGGTGTCTAGGAAGAGCTTTGAGATCATCCAAAGAAAAGCAAAATGTTTAAAATATTGGACCATAAAATGCATTGCAAAGCTTTGAGACCAGGGCCGGATTAAGTCAGGGGCTAGCTGAGCAGCTGCCTGGGGCACCAACCTATGGGGGGCGCCTGATGTCAGCTGTAAGGGGCGCCGTGCACCCGGGACTGGGAGCCATGCGATGTCCCTTAGAGTTGCAATCAGGCGTCGTGTGTCCGCTGCCCAAGGCGCAGGAATGGCTTGAGCCGGCCCTGGTTAAGACACTCCATGATAACGATCATTAGCCGCAGCTCACAGGCTCTGTCACAGGTCGACAGGGCGTGCTTTGCCTCGTCTTAGCCCCCTGGGAACACCCTCTTCTGCGGTGCAGGAGCTGCAATTGCAGCGTGAATAGGCGTACCTGGGCAAGTTTGGACCTTGCTTGTTGAAAGCTAGCTTTGAGAAACAATAGCAGTGAAGCTGCAGAGGCGAGGGGTAGCCCCGGGCGTGTATCCCAGTGCGTTGGTATCGGAGTTCGTAATTCAGACGTGTCCGCATGTGCTGCAGTCACAAAGCTAACGAGGGTCCATCGACGCGGGCTGCTCTCACGCTTCCCAATTCCAGTTCAAACGGACCTGTCGCGACAGGTGCCGGACCTCCCTGCTTTACAAGGGGAAGCCTCTTGTCCCAGCTGTCCCAGGTTTTGGTCCTTCGCTCTAATGTCCCTGTTTCTCACGTGGGCTCTTTCAGGAGGTCCAGATGAACCTGGAGCCCCCCCACCGGAGGCGTACCCTTTTGGGAGATGGCTGCCAGACACAAGGCAGCCTTCACAACCCTGAGATCTCATCCATTAGTCACTGGACTATAGCAGCGAGGGTCGTAGGTTAGAACAATAACGCCAGGCCTCAGGGCTACTGAAGGGGAGGGGCAAAGTGGACAATTGCCCCAGGGCCTGGGGATTTAAAAGGGCCTGAAGCTCCAGACTGCTGTGCAGCATGGCAGCACCAGCCGGAGCCCGGGCTCTTTAAATCTCCGCTGGAGCCCTGCACAGGCACTCTGAGTAGCACAGAGTAGCTCCGCCCCTTCTGCCCAAGGCAGATATAGGTGAGAGGATTATTCCAGGCATGGGTGGGTGAGATTCAGTGGCCTGCACTGTGCAGTGGGTCAGACTAGATGATCATAATGGTCCCTTCTGACCTTAAAGTCTATGGCTGTGTCTACACTGGCATGAATTTCCGGAAATGCTTAAAACAGAATACTTTTCATTATAAGTATTTCCGGAAAAGGAGCATCTACATTGGCAGGCTGCTTTTCCGGAAAAGCCCTTTTTCCGGAAAAGCGTCCGTGGCCAATGTAGACGCGCTTTTCCGGAAAAGAGCCCCGAGCGTCATTTTCGCGATCGGGGCTTTTTTCCAGAAAAGACTACTGGGCTGTCTACACTGGCCCTTTTCCGGAACAGTGTTCCGGAATAAGGATTTATGCCTGAGCAGGAGCAGAATAATTTTTCCGGAATAGCAGCTGATTTTGTACAGTAGAGCATCGTTGCTTTTCCAGAAATTCAAGGGCCAGTGTAGACAGCTCGCAGCTTATTCCGGAAAAGCGGCTGATTTTCCGGAATAAGTGGCCCAGTGTAGACACAGCCACTGAGTCTTGTGGCACCTTAAAGACGAGCAGATTGATTTGGGCATAAGCTTTAGTGGGTAAAAACCACTTCATCAGGTGCATCTGACAAAGTGATGTTTACCCACAAACGCTTATGCCCAAATACATTTGTTTGTCTTTCAGGTGCCACCGGACTTCTTTAGCAGACGCAGACTAACACAACTACCCCTCCGAGACTTGGGCGTTAATCAAACCAGAAGTGAAATATGGCCAAAGCCAACTCATTTCACCCAGTTTGCCACCAGAACTTTGTAACGCTAGTGAGTTTCACATGGTTTTCACCCCCAAACGATCATTGGCTTGCTTGCCGTGAAACTTGGTCGTGCTGCAGACTTTCAGGAAGTTATTTTGGTTTAAACTCCCTACTGGCCTATTCAGACACAACACTCTTGCCTCCAATGGAAATGAAGCATTTGCTCCAGTAGTGCATTTGGTCTCATTTCACTGGCCAGCAAATGGTGCCAGTTTATGATCTAATGTGGTGAACTAAAGGAACAGGGAAAAGTATTCACGGGAGGAAAAAAAGTTCAACGCACCCAAAAAATTCTGCTTAGTTCATCTTTTTGAGCTAAATTAACCTGTCCCTTTCCTTTGCAGGCTTTTCCAGAGTCTACGTAACTGCTCAGAAGAACTTACGGTAGAGTCCTAAAGAGCCGGATCCTCCTAGTTTCCCTCTGATTCCAGCATGAACAAGACCAAAGATTTTAACATGGTCCTTCCCTTTCCATTCAACAAGAACTGGAGTGCAGAACGAGGCTTTCCCACACAGATCCCAGGCCATTGCCCAAACACAACTGATCTCACGGTCTTTCTGGTCACCTCGTATAGCTTAGAAACAATCTTCGGCATCTTGGGAAACATTTGCCTGATTAGCGTCATCGTGCGGCAGAAGGAGAAGGCCAATGTCACCAGCGTCCTCATTACCAACTTGATCGTCTCTGACTTGTTCATGAGCATCGTTTGCCTGCCGTTCACCATTGTCTACACCCTGATGGACTACTGGATCTTTGGGGAGGTCCTGTGCAAAATGACTTCCTTCATCCAGTGCACTTCGGTGAGCGTGTCCATTCTCTCCTTGGTCCTCATTGCTCTGGAAAGACATCAACTCATCATAAACCCAACCGGCTGGAGGCCAAGCATCCCCCAAGCATATCTAGGGATTGTAGTCATCTGGACAGTCGCTAGCCTCATCTCTCTGCCCTTCCTGACCACCTCCGTCCTGACGTACGACTTGTACAAGCACTTCTCCTACATCACGGAGGCGTCTGCCGACAAGCCCATCTGCATGGACGTGTGGCCGTCTGACCAGCACCGCCTCATCTACACCACTGCCTTGCTGCTGCTGCAATACTGCATCCCTCTCTTCTTTATCCTGGCTTGCTACCTGCGTATCTATTTGCGCCTGCAGAAGAGAAAGGACATGTGTGAGAAGCGTGACTACAGCGGGCGGGAGGTTCAGCTGAGGCGGATAAATGTGCTGTCCATGGTGGTGGCCTTTGCTGTTTGCTGGTTACCTCTGCACGTTTTCAACAGCATCGAGGACTGGGATTACAAGGCAATTTCCCCTTGCTACCACAGCCTGATCTTCTCCTTGTGCCACCTGGTGGCCATGGCTTCTGCCTGTGTCAACCCGGTTATCTACGGGTTCCTGAACAGTAACTTCAAAAAAGAAGTGAAGTCACTGATGCTGAGTTGCCAGCACAACTCATCGCTGGAAGAATACGAGCATTTACCCTTGTCGACCATGCAGACGGAAGTTTCCAAAGGCTCCGTGAGGCTGAGCTGTCGACATAATTCCATCTAGGAATTCCACCTAGTTACACTAGGGAAACATCTTCTGACGTCTCTATTGGAAAGCCTCCAGGAAGGCTATGACACTTGGGTGCTAAAAGCAAAGGGCACCATCGTCTGACTCCAACATGTGCACTCTACCCAGCTGCTGTCCAGTTTTGGGGAGAAACGTCACTGAGTGCAAGGCAAGGGACTCCATACAGATAAGTGAGGAAGATAAACGGCGATCCTGTATTGATGAGGAGGGGCAGCATTAGAAACAGACTTCATGGAGACAGGGCATGTGCCCAAGGAGTTGCTTTGTCCCTAACGAAGCTGTAGCTATCCGTGGTTGCACACAGATAGCAGGGTCATCGGCTAAGCTGCACACCCTTATCCCCGAGGGTAAAACCTGCGATGTCCAACTCAAACACCCGTGTTGGTGGAAAGTCTTCTCTGTCGGTATTAGTAGCACGTGGCCATGCTGTAGGCTGACCGCTATGTCGACGAGAGGAAGAATATGAGGTGGTTGCCTGCATTAGTAGGGGACTGGACTCAGTGATCTAAAAGGTTCCTTCCAACCACAGGCCCACTCTCCTTACATTCCTCTCGGTGCATGGGTATGTCTAACGTGTGCGTTACTGCCCCTCCTCTCACCCATGGCGAGGAACCACTCCTGATGAGGTTCTCAGGAGATCCCATCCAGCAGATCTGTAACATCCTTAATGACTTACTTGGTGGGGAGGGTCAGTCAACATGGGGACATGTCACCACGGCCCTGTCACTTCAAACCCCTCACAAGCTTCAGCTTCATGGAAATCTCTGTTCCTCCCAGGGCTTCTAGTGAACCCTCTTTTGGCCAACTCCTTGCCAGCAGTATTACACAGATAGTAGCCAGAAAACTACACCACGGAGCACACTGAACCAATGCAAACCAGAGCCACTGCCCGATAACAAGGTGCATTGAGAACAATCACCATCCATTAGGACAGCCAGCAGTGGGAGGTACTACACCGTTCATTGCCTCTGTTACCCGTCACTTAAACTACACAGGTGACTTCTTTTTGAAGGTGATGTAAAAACAATCGCAGATTTCCTTGGGTGCTTGGTCCGGTTGACTTGGTTGTCATTCTTCTGGCTGTAAACCTAACACCTCCATGCTACTAAAGGTCCAGTCGCGGACTTGGGCACTGTAAGATGTTTGGATCATAGGAGACTTTGGCCTATCTCAGCTGGGGGAACGAGGTGACGCGTAGCCAGTGTCACACCTGTTCTGTGCTTAGCATCTCACTCTGCACCCAGGCTCTGTCATGTGGGAGGAGCAAGTGACTAGTGGAGAATGGGTCTGACGTAGAAACGCCAGCTGTCATGTGCTGTGACGCTTCCAGAAGAGTGAAACACCTGGTTGGGAACCACACCAGGGTGCTGGGTTTCCCCAAGAAGAGGAAGGACCTGCTGAAACATTGTGAAAAGTCTGGGAAAGAGCAATGAAGAGGCATGAAGGGGGTTGAGTGGCACATTCAATCCAAGCCCCGTGTACATTAAGGGTGTTGCCAACTGTGTGATGGATGTAACTTTGTGCTCTCTCGCATCAGTGCTATTTGTACCGTTAGTCTGGGCAGCCCACCGGCACACCATAAGGAACGTTGTACTCCTTCTTTGGGAAACAGCAGTACATCAAGTGGCTGGAGTCGGAGCGCCTCTCGTTATCAAGCCATTGCTCTGCAGCAACTGCTGGGAAACCAAGACGTGGACGTTGTCAGGGTGGAAGCCAATAGTATGCCCTAGGTCAGGTGGTCACATTTTGTCATGACTTGACACCCTGTGCAATCTCATCCAAGTCAATGGACTTGCACATGGTGGAAGGTATTCAATGCATAGATACTATAGAGAGCGGGGCCCTAAAAATACAATAGCTAAGTAGATACCTCCGCTGTTCCCTGTAAACTGTGCATTTGTGTGGCTACCCAGGAGAGTTTCAAATACCGCCCAGCTGATTAGCAGAGCACCCTCTGCTGGCAGCATGTTTTTCTACTAGTGGTGCACATCCACCTCAGTGCACATACCAAAATTTATTCTGCACCTGGATGGAAAAAAATTAGAGGGAACATTGGCTACCTCCTTAGACAAAGCAGTAGGTCAGGACAGAATTTGACAAAAGGCATATTCTCCATCAGACCACAGCATATTGAGCAGATCTTGTGGCTGCAGTGTCACTGTAGCCACGGCGGTCCCAGGAGTTTAGAGAGACAAGGTGGGTGAGGTAATCTTTTGTGGGACCGACTCAGGTTGGTGAGTGAGACAAGTTCTGGAGCCACACAGAGCTCTTCTCTGGGCCAGACTTTGTGAAGGTGAGAGCCAAACTATCTTGTGCTACACAGTAGCAAGAGCCGTTAATGCCCATTGGCTAGACCTCAGGTGGTCTGAATGGGGAGCAGCCTGACTGAGTTCAATGGAGGCAATTTACATATGTTTAGCATCACTGATATCCAAGGACGTTGAGGATGCTCCTCACCTTACGGAACTGGCTGCCAAGTTCTTGACTGTGCCCGAACTGTCTGGCGGCAGCTGGCCTTTTGATTCCATTCAGAATTCTGCGGTCAGCTGGTCTGGACATGATTTCATTTTGTATCTTTACCTGTCCATCTGGAAATCTGCAGGAGGCCATGCCGACGAGGCAAATTGTTTCTCTTGTTTTGTGTGAAGATGTCCCTTCTGGGCTAGAGTTTGAGTCCACTAGAAGACTTTCTACCCTTACAGACCGAGCAGGCTCTAAGCCACCTCCCTACACCAACCTTTGATACAGTCATGGAAACCAGAATGGTCCTTCTAAGCTGACCAGCCTCCTTGACTTACCAGGATGTTGTATAAACTGTGTTTGATTCAAGGGCTCAAGTGGGATGTGAGTAGTGCATGCATTGGGCTTCTTCCTGGAGGCCAGTTTCCGCCAATGAGCCCTGAGTAATTCTACTTATTTATTCCCTGCACTTGTTAGAATGAGACTGTTTAATTAACAACTGCCTGCCGAGCTCTGATCACACATCAGCATAGAAAGTGATCTGCTCTGTGCGGGTACATGTAAACTGCATTGCTCTTTTGGGATACCGGAAGTATCCTGAAATAGCAATGCCGCATCTTTAAACGTGCCTGCTATTGCCCAAAATAGTGGGCGCACTATTCCAGCGTCCCTGTAACATTAAGGGATTTGTCGAAATAGCGTGTTATTCCAAAATCCGGCACTGTGTAAACAGCGCAAAAGTGCCACATTTCAAAATAAGCTCTTTCGACTTAGACTCGGAATAAGCTATGTGTGGCGCAAGTTGCTTATTCTGACAAAAGGTGCTGTCTAGATGCACCCGGAGTTGTACATAGGTGATCTTGTCTGTGAAAGGCAACAGCACAATTGGCCATGGAAGTTTTGCTTCCGAGCTGTGTGCATTGTGCGTGAGGCTTGTGTGTAGCATGAAAAGCTCCCAGAAGTTAATGCTAAGCAAAGTCTATTTGACAGAAAACATATATGTCTGTAACGGTGATGCATTGATGCAGCTATTTGCATTGGGCGACCTCATCAAGTCCTAGATGCATTTGTGAAGGGTGGAGTTAGCTGCATTGTCTGCTTCTGCTTTGCCCTGCACTTGGGACAGTCATTTGCACTTGTGAGTGCAAAGCATCTGTAAAAGGCTAACAGATCGGTGGGGGAGCACAAGCCATGCTAACACCCTGTGGGTTTGTCCCATTGGAGTGGCTAGATGAAGCACAAAGCATCTGTGTCCAAGTCCATTAGCTCAGAGCAGCCTCTGACTTGGGGTGTCATTATAGTCCTGTTTTAATTGCCTCTGCACAGATGTAAATAACTAACGACGTGCGGGGTAATGGAGTATTGGGCTCTGTTACGCTTGCTGTGCGTTGGAGTGCTTCTTTGGGATAATTACTCCCAGCGTTATCACTGGGAGAATGAGGCGGTCATGGATGCATCATCATGCATACCTGCCTTACTCTTACTATCGCCACCTTCGGCCATCCTGTCCTTTTGTCCCGCTTTTGTCTTTTTCCGGCTCCGCTTGTTGGGCCACAATGAATGTAAATGCGAAGCCCTTCTGAGCTTATTGTTGCTTGTATCTGAGCAGTGCATGGCATGCTGTGGGGCCCTCAGAAATAACCAATAAAGTACTAACGTTGGCCAATCACGTCCTTTCTGTGTGCCTCAGTTTGTCCCTCTGTAAAATGGGGGATAAGGCTCCTTGGTGACTAACAACTGCTGTGAGAGCCCTGTGGTCAGTCAGGGGACCTGTGTGTGCCACTGATGTGCAGAGTATTTGGAGCGATTCATTACAGCCACGATTACTGTTTAGTAAAGGTGTTTTCCGCAGAAACCATGGAGAGGTCATACATGATAAACAAAAAGTCACGGCCCCGGGCCTGTCCAAGACTTGTACCATATAAATACCCCGACTAAAACTTAGGTGCTTTCAGGTGTGTGTGTGTGAGGAGGGGCGGAGAAAAGGGTCCAAAGTGGAGGATGGCCCCTTACATCACAGCATCAAGCAAGGACCACGCAGGCCGTGGGCTCTCTGTTCCATCTGCCAGGTGGTGAGTTTGTGACGGAGAGCTGGAGCAGAGGCCCACCAACCTCGTCTCCTGTGGGGCCACCAGATGTTCATTCAACGGGAATGCCTTAATCCCAGTTTGGATCCCAACTGGTGACCGACAGGTGAAAAGCTCCAAAGTTAGCTGGCGCAGTCCTGGGGCAGCCAGTCCTAGTAAGAGTGAGGGCTACATCCTTTGAGAATGAGGCTGCTTTCTGATAAGGTGAATGTATTGAATCAAGTTCTGAGCTTGTCCAGACAGAGGGGCTAGTCTCTCAACACAGAATCTCAGAACACTAGCGCGGGAAGGGACCTTGAGAGGTCATCAATTCCAGTCCCCTGCCCTCCCGGCAGGACCAAGCACCATCCCCAACAGATGTCTTGTCTAACCTTCATGGGAAATATCTGGAGAACCAAAAATTGCCCCAAGTACAGTCACTGCCTCTCAGCCCGGTAAACTCGTTGCGATTTGGTCTATATCAAGAAGACCTATACGGGAGACCCAACAGCGAGAGAGAGACCAGACAATTGAAGAGGACTCTTCTAGCCACACGACTGCTCTAACGTGCCTTCTCACGTGGTCTGCAGGAATGTCCCTTCCCAGAGCTTTCCAGGTGGCAGTGGCCTGATTTTCAAGAAGGCTCAAGCATCTGCAGCTCCCATGGACGTTTTCCTTGGCACCTTTGAAAAATCAAGCTCCTAGCTCTTTGTAAACCAACATCCGTGTTGCTGTTACGACTCCCTCCCCTTCTCTGCCATAGTTTGTTTCCTAACGGTGGCACTTTGAACCCTCTAAATCACCAAGAGGATAAGGCACATGGGTATAATATGTTTTTCTGCTGGACAATACTCGCTAGGTCTGTGAAACATGGCCGTTGTATTGTGCTCCTAAGAGCCAGCAAACGTGCACTGCACATTCAGAGCAGTGATTCTCAGGTAGTTCGTTGCCTGGTGTGGAACTAAACCTCAGCGTTTGCTGCTGGACTGAAATCGATAAAACGCAACAGGCCAATCTGACTGTTTACAAAAGTTGTCCAGCTGAATGATTTATATTATTAGCCACAGTGTAGGAAATGTGTGGTTCCGTGGCGATTACACCGCCGGATAATTGTCTTAGTAACAAGAAGTAACACCTAGGACATATGCAAATGTGGAGCCCTACCTGTTTCTGGTCCCAGTCGTCCAACCATTTTCCTCCTCTTATCTTTGTCCTGCTTCCCGAGCAAAAGGAGTCATCTGGTCACACTCCCACCTGGGCTTGGGTTACGAAGGGCATGAGCCAATGTGTACATGCGAGAGACTATCACACCCAAAATTCCCATCACTATCTAGACATTGCTCCAGTGCCCAGGGAAACTGAGGCACAGACATGGGGTGACTACAGGACAGTAGAACTCACTGGCAGCATAGCAAGGGAAATAAAATCCCCACAAGCCCCATTTCGTTACATCAGTCACCTAAGCAGAAGAGCAGCAATAATAATAATAATAATAATATGAATGAACATCTTTTGCATATGATTATCAGGGAAGGTTTGCCATTTTATACTGAGCTAGATAGATCTTTGGTCTGACCGTGTGTGGCCAGTCTCATGTTCTTATGTAGCCTGTTTCTACTAGGTTCAGGATTAAATATCAGGCAGTGGACACACATCCTTTGTTACGAGAAAGCAAATGGAACACATAACTTTAAAGTTGAATAATATCGAAAGGCAGCATCGTCTCTTGCAGCTAGAATCTCAGGTAAACATCTCTGTTTCCTCGGAATACACTAGCTTTAGTTCAAGTCTAATTAACTCCCCTGCCCAGAACATGGTGATAGGAAGCCTTCCTGCCAAATACAGCTGGGTTAATGGGGCCGGCAATCATTCACAATCGTTTGCGATGGTTACACTTTCTAAGTCTGTAGCTGTAATGACAGCGTAATTACTTTGTGTTTATGATTTTTTTTCACAGCAATTGCCTTTAATTCATGTGCCGGGGAGGTTAACTACATGCTTGCAGGTAGTTAGAAAGAAAATTAATGTACTGGGACGTTTGAATTCTGGACTTTGGTGTCCAAATCAGCCGACCTTGTAAAGAGGGGACTGGTTGAAATTCATGGCTTTGTAGTAGAGGATTCTGATGGCCCCTTCTGGTCTTAAAATGGATGGCTTTGTGAGAAATCTCTTGTTTTTAAACCAAATTGGTGTCTTTTAGCAAAGACAGAAATAGCTCCTTTTCCTTGCAAGAAATCCCCGGGGTATTTAACCAGAAGACTCCAGCCGAGTGGAATTAGAGTCTGCCACTCAAATGCTGTGTCAAGCTCAGGTTTCGGGTTACATGGAGCAAAACCAGAGCAACTCCGGGAAATCAGTGGGAAAGTGATGAGGAATAGTCAACATGGATTCCCGAAGGACAAGTCGTGCCTGACCAATCTGAATAGCTTCTATGACGAGGTAACGGGCTCTGTG